AAATTCATGCTATCTTATTATCTCCCACAGTCTATTTCTAGCCCTGTCTTATTTGGATTAGACAGCATGAATATTTTAAAGGAAAAGCACCAATTGTCTTTTACTAAAAGTTGGCTATTCCGACCCTGACTAGACTCATAGAAATGCTTTTTTAAAATGTGTTATCTTTTTTGGCTATTTGTTCATGCATTTACATAAAGGAATTAGGAAAAGTCGTATCTGCCTACGCTTTCTTACTGCTCCTGAGCATCTTGAGTATGAGACATCAGTTTGGCAATGAAAAGCATTCCTCTTCATGTTATCATTGAGCTGGGGAGCAGTGGGAAGATGCCCAAATGTGCACAATTTGGTTTGCTAGATAATTTGTTCCTTGACAGCTCCATCAAGAAAATGAATTTCATTCTGGCCTCTGCAAATGCTCACTGTAAAGATTTACTTTGAAGCTAGCGAGCACATACTTGAAGAACTGTATTAAGCTGTGGTCATGTCTATGTTGTTGCTTCTATTCTAGTTGTCTAATTCAGTTCCTAAGTGGTTTGGGGGCCCTTTCTATTTGCAAATGTGACTCCCTGAGTGTAGGCTAAGACACATTATGATTTCAAATCATGATAGGGTGTTCAGATTCCCAATCTCTCCATTTCACTGACTTATCATACTAACAACAAAGTGGGTCAACCTAGAAATGTTCTTTTCTCGGTTCAGATGCATTCTTTATTCTTTTAAGAGTGCATTTTAGAGAGTTGAAACCACTTGTAATTAAAAGGAGGTTATTTTCCCCATATCTTGTCTTCTTTCCCACAGTGACTGAGAATATGCTATGTGGTATATATTACACATAGATACACTTTAAAGCAGTTATAGAAGGAAAACATGACCTAAACATTTAACATGGGATGGGTAATTAAGAAGAAAGACCCTAAGGGAAACCAAAGCAACTGAGGCCACCTAAGGAAAGAGAAAAATAAAGAGAAAGTGTCAGTACTATTATGCTTGTATTTTCCCTTCTATTAAATATGTAGGATCTGTGTGAAGGTGTTTTAAAACAACCTGGGAGCCAATCCTGTGTGTGTGTGTGCATATACATGTATTTTTAAATTTTT